TGCAAGCATTTAGTCTGCAGAGGTCTCTGAACCACCTTGTGATTTCATACATCTTTCAGCTAATTTAGAGGTGAAAAAAATTGGGTACTGAAGGGTATCATGTGGATTGCTGATATTCCTTTTAAATAACAACAGGACTATAAAACAGCAGAAGTATTATACACATCTGTATACAGCTAATACTGGAGTTTGGGTTTTCCTCTCAAATTAAGACATCTGAAAAATACTTTTGATTCATCCCAACAATTCAGTGCAAAGTTACAAATGTGAAATGCAGAACTAGTGCTTATTTATTTAATACTTTTCCTTGCTTAGGGACACATAAGAGGTAGATATAGCCCAAGAAGAGGACAACACTTGCATGTCTTCTCTTTCATTGATGTGAAAGGCATTTTGCATCCTGGCTTGTCCACCAAGTTTATCCCTTCTTGTAATGGACTCTTCCCTTCGTTTAGGAATGCCTCACAAAGGAAAACACCACAAGACAAACCACAGATGTTATGATCACATGCTGACAAAGCATCTGATTTTTAGCCAGACTCTATAATTCACAAATTAATCCTATTAGTAGAGAGAGATGGTGGTCTGTGTTTGTTATGGGAATGTAGGTGGGTATGGTTCCACACCCTCTCAGAAATAAAATCTGCAGATTCAGACATGTTCATTTACAAATACATGTATATGGATATGGCAAAGCAAAGGCTAACTTCTGGTGCACTACTCAGTCCAAAATCTGGATGTAGTCTTTGCTAAAGGTCCATCCCTCAGACATGTGTAATGGGCAATTTGCTTTCTTATATTTTTGTTCTTGGGGTTTTTAAGAGTTTGTAAAACGAAGAGTAAGGAATTTAAAAATCTCTTTCTTGGCTTTCTGCTTGACTTCTTTTTTTTTTTTTTTTAGCTAGTATAGTAGTGATGCTTTTTTCACTTGTCTTCTGATTCTGTTTTTCCTCTGTCCCAAATACACTGAAAACTATTCACATCCAGACCACATTCCCCCCTGTTCTCTGTATTCTTACCTCTGTGCCTCAAGGACTCTGAATGGGCAAATTCTTCATTGTCAGATCTCTTTTAGGGTTTACAGACCAAGCTACATCTGTAGAACAGACTCCACCACACAGAAGACATACGCTCTCAAAGAATCACTAATAAACATGGCCAGCATGAGAGGCTAGGTTCTCTACTGTGCCAGAGGACTCTAAAAAACCACTTTCAGTGTGGGTTGAAAGTATATTGTATCAATATAACATCTGCCTCTACACTAAAGTTGTAAAGGGACTATTTAATTTTAAAATAACAAGTCAACTAATTCTTCAGAGCATATTTGTGCTCTGGCATTCAGCCTGCCACAACTGACAAGCATAGGTTAAAAGTCATTACCACTGTTAACAGCAAACAATTATGCAGGCTGAAAGCAATCACATAATTTGTCACTTTAAAGCCCACTTGACAACCTAAAACTCCAGGTTTCTTGTTAGTTCACTATAGATAATTTACCATTTCTAGCTTACTGCTTCAGTTTATTTCCTCTTATGTGGTTTCCCCTTCTCTGCTCTCTCTGGTTCTTCTTTTGTGGTATGCAGGATGTGGCTTTCTTCGACCCTATAAAACTATAACTGTCCTTACAAAGAGGAAAAAAGAAAAGAAAATTAATTACTGTCTGCTGGATTCCTTGAGCCTGAGTTCAAGGTCAGATAAACACTAATGTCAGCATCAGAGAAACTGTCCCTGATGCCCATGGTTTGGGGAACAGAGGGTGAAAGTTGTCCCCTTCAGGAGCAAATTATTAGTTTAGCACAGCTGTGCTGAAGCATCACAGCTAGAGATGTCAAAGCTGATCATAAACTCTATCAAAACAAGTGCCCCTTGATCTGATTATAGCAACTCTTCACTAGTAAATTGTTTGCTGGTGTTTGCAATTTCACTCTGATCAGCCCCAGAGAATCACAGGTTCAATTAAAATAACCACCTACAAGCCACCTTCTAGTTAGTAGATCCTCCTTCTCTTTACACAACACTATTAATCTTTCCTCATCTTTGGTGTATTAAAGACAGGAATCTTCACACTTTCTTACTTAAGAGTTCTTGTTAATTTTCCCATCTACTTGAATAGAATTTATTGGGTTTTTTGTATTATCTTCTGGCCATTTATTTTTGTGGCACAACCCAAAGCTTCAGGTGGTTCCACTCAGCCTGCACTAATTGGCTTGCAAGCCTTGCCTTCCCAGAGAAAGGATTGTCTAGAAATTGGGACTTATTTCATATTTCTCATATTTTTGCATCTCAAAGCCCCCCAGACAAGTTGACTAACCAGATAGCCAACAAACCCAAGAAACAACCAATCAAAGCAAATTCCACAGGCTCTGGAAACCCCTACAGTGGGATTATCTACCTCAGATGGACAAGGACTGACAGGGAGCTACACCTGAAAGCACAGCCCTGGCAGCGCAGGCAGCGCCCAGCGAGCACATGGGCGTGTGGGTGGCACCAGCCCCGCTGAGCCGCGGCTCTCGTGCCCACCTGGCAGCTTCGTTCAATCGTGGGCTCGGTGGGGTGGAGCACGGGACTGCGTGGGTGTGCAGTCACAGCTCATGCACCTGGGCACTACAGGCTCTGGGGGAGCATGAAGTGTGGCCCCAGGCCTCTCTGTGCTCCCCAGCCAGTCCTTCCTCCTTTACTTTCCCGTATTCTCTGGAACATAAGGCTATATACATTTCTTAATCCTTAGGATTACATAAGTTATCTCAAAAATCTCTCCTGCCACCATCCCAGACAACCAAGAGATTTTCCTGCAGCTACTTTGGGCTATCATAGCCTGTAAATCCACAAATGCTTTAAACTGCCCTAAGCCAGAACTGACACTCAAAGCCTTCCTTTATCCCATGCCATCACTTTGCCTATGCAGGGACAAGAACCTGGACAGCCATGCTGTGAACTCAAATTGGGAAATAAGAGGGGTTTTTTTTTACCTCCTTTCCTTTTCTGGCATAATTGTGACCCAGATTAGTTGCCTCTGTTGTTCCCTGCCAGATGATTGAATAATTGCACCAAGAGTTGTGCTGACACAGAGGAGAAGGTGGAGCAGCAGAAGGGAGCAACTGGGGAGGGCCAGAGCACTCCCCCAGCACACAGCTGGCTCCTGCTGCCCTGGGGTGACCTGAAGTACACACAGCCTTTACTCCATCTTCACTATCCAGCTCAGTGCCAAGTCTTTCTGGGTATTCTTCTGGGATTATGTTCTCCTTCGTGACCTTGACCCTTCTGTCCTCTTCAGCAGATGCTCACACCTCAATAGAAAGGGTGTGCCATGAAATCCCTCCTGCTTCTCAGTCCTCTGTGGGTGATAATATCCATATGCCTCACTCCGATGGGTGACGGTGAATAACCCTGTAGACTTGTATTGCTCTTTGCACCATGGCTCTTTAATTTCTCTCCAAAACTTGTTGCTGTGCCACTGATTAGCATAATTAATTTAAAACCCAGAGCAATTATTTCCAGACATCACTTAGACTGGATTCAGGACTTGTGTTTAAGAAATTGTACCAAGAATCTGTCCATCTTCCAAACTTCATCTATTGTCTTGGTCCTAGCTATCACGTCCTAGCTCATACAAGAGGCATTGAAAATTCAGCTCCTCATCTTTCAGGAAAAGGACAAGGCCTTGCTTCTTTTTATGTAGCTATCTTTTGATCCAGTCATGACAACTGTACATAAAACCTGACCTTTCAAAGACACAAACATCTGAAGAGGAACATGCTTCTTCCTAGGAAGGTGCTAGAACTGGAGAGGCATGAGGCTCTGGGATGAGAGTTTAGTTGAACACTTTAGTAGTCTGGTTCTGCACATGAGGTTTGCTTACCTTCCCAGTCACCTTGCAGACTGCTGGAGCACTGAGGAGGTAAAATGCAGGCCAGAAAGTTCCTGGTGTTGCTGAGATATTCCTTGGGAGTGCAGAGCTAGGGGTTATATATGTTTTTTAAAATGAGGAGTTTATTCAGGGCTATCACTTAACTTCCCTTGGATATCATCCCCACTTTACTTTCTGCCTAATGTTGTTGATGGTCAGTTGTTTCAAATGAGATTGTACAAATTTTGGTGATATGCTATTATATAACTTTTTCGCTTGGGGAATTAGAAAGATTTTTTACAGCTTGAAGTACATCTAGGGAGGAGGATCTCTGACCATGACTTCAAATGATAAGTAGCACAGTGTACTGAACCTCAGGACCAGATAGATTAATTCTGTTTTGGGAGTCTGAGCAAAGAGAATAATTCCAGAGCAGAAGGTGAATGTTTCTAGTTTCACAGCTGTACAGATATAAAACATTGCAGATAGGAATTTACACTTCCTATAATCCTGACACAGATGTTTGCCTCATGGGATGATTCATTTACACTTAAGAGGAAAACTGGTGACAAGAGTGACTCTTCCCTATGATACTTTATATTCCTCAGTGTGAATTTCAACAGGCTCGTTACCTACTCTGTTCTGAATGACTAGCCAGAAGCATTTTTCTGCTTCAAAGAACATAAAGTAAAGCAATTAAGCCACTTCTTTCAGGAACCCTCTGCACCGCTACCCTGCTTCCTCTGCCAGACTCCCTGTTATTGCACCCAGGGGTCCCTTATAAAGCAACTCAGGCACTTTCATGATGGTATGCCAGCTCTTTGTTCAAAAGCACAGAGGATCCATCCTGCCTCTGGGCTCAGGATACAAATAACTGCTCAGCAGGAATTGCCCTTGAGAAGACTGCCCTCAAAAGGACTCATTAATCCTCATATTGTAAAGATGGGCAGAGTATCTAATGTTTTATAACCAGAGAAATGTATGTGAAGTGCCTGCAAAGCTAGAAGGAAGAAGCAGGGATACATTGCCATCATTAAACATAAAAGAAAAAAATAAAGGTATAGAGATCTGGGCATTAATTCTGAATCACAGCTCTGCAGTATTAGTGCACATTACTAGGAAGATAAAAGAAAGCCTACGAGGATACTTCATATTCAATGCATCAAAAATGTTTATTATTATTTACACAGTTGACGTTGATTTGATAATTGGAAAGTTATTCACTGAAATACTACCAACACTTGTACTACATTTCCCATACTATAAATCTAAATTTCACTATAAATTCAAATTCTACTGAAGCATGAACCCTGAGATTTAGGTGATTTCTGCTATGTATGCTGTGCATCACCATGTGGGGATCACCCTTGACCTTGATCAAAAGGCAGACCACTGCTTTGATGGATCTTGGCAGCACGTTAACGACAACAACCTCCTCCAGAATGCAAATCTGGCCAGGCATCTGGGGGTTACATACTCTCTCAGATGTAACATTTGTGTCTGATTTTGGCTGAGGAGCACAGCTGCAATCGTAGTAAAAGAGTTTGCTGTATTTTGAACGAGTTTTGAGGCATTTTGAACTGCTTGAGGAAGCAGGCTTCTTTCTTCCTTTCACTTAGGAGGATTTCTTATCAAGACCAACAAATGTCCAAAGCTTGGAGAGCAAACTGCTCTGAACTCACTACAGGGATATATATGAATAAGAAGAAGTACAAAGGGGGTGCAGCTAAGCAACCCATAAGTGACAGCAAATGGCTGAGGAATGACAGCTGCTAAAGCCTGTTGACTCAGCCAAGCCGTGTTCTGAAACAAAAGTCTTCCACCTTTTCCATGGTCCTAAGCAGGGCTGTCTGTGGCTGTGTGCCCTCTGTTGAGTGTACAACACTGCATGTGTGTGAAATACATTTAGCTCTAGGTTTTTTTCTCAGATAATCTCTCAGTGTGTTGCTACTTGTTTTGTAAAATTTGTTCTTGTGACTGAATAAAAAGCACAGGAAGTAGAAAGCTCTTATTCTCTCAATTGATTAAGAAAAATGGAAGACTGTAGAAATGCTGAATATTCTGTCTAATCAGAAGCCTAATAATCCCTGTGACTTTAATAAGGTAGAGGAGAGACCATGCTAGCTAAGTTCCTAGTCATGATCACTTTTAAATTTTCAAATCTCAGTGATCTCATTATACCTGGTAATGAATTTAATTTTCTAGAGGCTTCAAAGTAATCAGGTTGGCAAAATTGTTCAGCAGAATGTCTTATTTGTGTTTTATTCATAATAGTTCAGAAGTCATCTCAAGGCATCTACTGCTCCCAAATGGGTATGCATGTGTTCTGTGTACATCATGCTGTGCTCCTGCGCTTTAGTACGTGGTGAGAGGAATGGCTTGTTCAGCTCATGTGCTGAGTATGTAGCACATGCACACACCATCCATGAATCTGTCATTTGGAGGTACACAGAAGTCTGGCAAGCATGCACTATGACTGTTTGATGGGGAGAAATGCTGAATTTCAATTTGCATTTTCTTTGCAATACAATGATGATTTTTTTTTTTTTTTCAGAAATTCAGTGATACATTCCATGTGCAAAAATACATGAGATTTTTGTCAAAGCATGCGCTTGTGTGTATATTAGTTTTATTGATACTGGGGAAGACAAATGAGAATTTGAATCTGCTTGACAGGGCAAGGAAGAAAAGAGAAATTAAATGGAAATCATCCCATATTAACAGCCCAAATTGCAATCTGCAATTCTGTATTGAATTACCTTTGCAGATAGAGTGCTTAGGAGACTATTAATTTAGTGTCTACCTCAATAAATCCAATGCTTCCTTAAAAAAAAAAGAAGAAGCACCATAGTGAAATCACATATAATGCAAGCTAGTGACTATTCAGCCAGAGCTCCAAAAGTAAAAGAAGCATTTAGAAAAACATATTAGGGGAAGAGAGACAAAGGAAAAACCAGCAGCATATTAAAAATTCTACCAGCAAAAAATTTTGGTGATGCTTTTGTAAATAAGATGTGAGGGGCAGATGCTCCTTTTTTTATCATTTCATCCTATGTTGAGAATACCAGGGGCGAAGTTCCTCTGACAGCTAGATGCACAGCAGCCCTTGCCATCTGGTATGTAAAGTGCATCAAGGCTCAGCATAGGAAGCAGAATGAACATCGTGAAAATAATTTTTAACCAGTATCGTGCTGGAGCCAAAGAGAAATCTGTGTGGAAGCTGAGGTGACAAGAGAATGAAAGATGGGAAAGCCCACAGACATAGGTCAGGGACAGGCACCTATTGAGTGGTATAGCCACCATGTGTGCACATGTGTATAGCCACTCACTGGGTGTCTTTTTCTTTTCAATCTTCAGGAAGAGGCAGCCAGAGTTCTCGCCCACCAGCCAGTGTCCGTCGGCACATGTGCAGCTTTGAAAAATCCCTGCAGTGAATGTGTAAGAGAAGCTGCATGACAAAGAGTGGTTTTACCCCTTGCTTTCTTTTTCTCATTGGTTTATCATGTCTAATGATGGGACAAATGTGGTGCATGCCATTAAAGATGGGAAATTTGCTTATGGCCCCTTGTTTCAAACAATACTTTAAACATTGTGCAGATGTGATGAAGAGGACACTAAATAACTTTTTTGCAGCTTTTACATTTTTATTTCTAAATGCCTACAACTTTGCAAATATGTCCTCTTTCTTGTACTAATTTTATCTTCTTTTTCCATTTAGCCAGCATTTTTCTCCTTTTTGTAATTTTGCATAGAGATGACATTATCCTGTGTGCTTTACATGGCAAGACACCTCTGCTGTGCACAGCCCTTGCTAACCCATGCTTGTTATTAAACTGTGGCCGCAGACCCAGCTGAGGGAGCACAGAAGATGTTTATTTGGTGGGATTTGCAGATCACAAAAAGGCACATGTAAATAAAACCAGCAGGATTTGGTGTAGGAACAAACAGCATCTCAAAATAACAGCATGAATCTTTTTTCTGTTGTAATTTCTGAAAGATGTTCAGATTCTGCATAGTTTTGCATTCAGCAAACAATAGTGAAGTTCAGCTCTTCAGAAGCAAGAAGTGCAAATTCTGTCCCCTCTGAGCAAACACAAACACGGTGGAGAAAACAAGCAAGCTGTTGCAAAACCCGAAATACTTCACCTCATTTCTTCCAGATCTGTGCTCATTTCCCTCTGATAAGCAGCAGATGTGTAACAGTCTTGCTCCCTGCCCCAGGGAAGATTGTGCAGTGACTCGGTGGAAAGATGCTTGTGATCCACTGACACAGCATTTTGGGCAGTGCTGCTCACTGCAACCAGAGATGCTGTTGCACTGCTCTGAGTAGTGCAAAGCGTTTTAGCTCTGTGTATGTCTCTGAGAGTCTATGCAATTTGTGGGCATATAGCAACGATGTTCATTCAATCCAACCTGCCTCTCTGATTTGCAGATCAGAAGAAATCCACAAAATGCATCATACATTAGGGGCAGTCATGGTGGCTTTACAGCGCTTGTGCAGCAGCCAGTTTTGGCACCCTGAAAGGCAAATTGTACACAGGCAGTGTAAGGAGCAGTACAAACTATTTGTTACTATGCTCCAGTCAGAACAATATGCCCCTTTTTTCTGAACTGGAACAAGTGCTGAAGATTCTCAGGGTACAGATCACCAATTGTCTGTCTGGAAATTCCAAGGGAGTCCAACACAGGCATACTATTAGGGGGCAAAAGCAAATGCAATAGCAGATTCTAATCAGAAAAGCATGGACGGACACAAGCTGAGAAACTCCTGAGCACAGGGAAAGCTGAACCTCCTGCTTTTTGCATGACCATGCTTAGAATATTTTTTTTCAGTTTGGAAAAAAAATCTTTATCCACATGAGCTCCTGAGAAACACCTCTGGTGTACCTCCAACCTGTCAACGGGTCCGCAAATGCTTGTGGTGGCTGCCCAGATAAGAACAGCTTCAAGAAGCAGGGGAATTTTTCAGATCTGCTGAGCATGACGCTTGCTATTTTGGCTTCTCTGCCTGTGTCTGCCCCTCAGGCTTCCCTCTCCTTCCAGCCAGAGCTGATGCGTCCAGAGGCCTGGCAAAATTGCACTGTGGCTCAGGGAAGGGCACGTCCTCCATCAGCAACCTGAGCTCCCTGTGGCCACACAGCCCAATTTGAGCAGTAGACAATTGTCCATCGTATCACCAACTGCCCATCACCACCATTTGGTCTCAGTTTCATTCACCAGCACTCCAGCAGTTTGTAAATCCAGGTTTTCCTTAGCAGCCCTGCTTCACCACTCCAACATGCTATAAATCACCACACATGCTATGGTTTCCCTCAGGTCCCACCTGCAAGCAAGTAGATGCAGACTCTTGAAACTGTCTTTAGCATCATTTTTTTTCACCAATGTTCATCTCCATTCTCTGTACAGTGCTGGAGATGGTTAGAAATGCAGAATCATCAAAATATAGAATCATAATATTTTATTATCATATTAAAAAACCCCAGAAGCATCAGCTTGGAGTTTCAGGGCTCTTTTCTTCTGAATCTGCACATTCATTACCATGGAAACTTTCAGATACACCCAAAAAACCCACAGGCTTTACAGGCTGCTTTATCTACAGCAGCACATTAGGGAGAGCTGTACATTACAAACGAGGCCTCATGACTAAGCTTCCTGTGGCAACTTGGCTAAGTTTGCTACAGGGTAAAGCACTCAAAATGCTGGCATGTTAAGGCAAGTCTGATGGCTCTTTAAGCCCTATTTAAACTCTTGGGAGTTTATTTTATTCTCAAGTATACCAGATAATCTGACAAGTTGTTGTGGAAGAAGGGTCTCATTGACCACAACCCCTGCAAGGGTTGCACACTTTTTGGGAAATATCCAGGGCAACAGGCTTTTATGTTCATAAGGATTTTGCTTCTTCTCTGATACAGCTATTGACTAGGAAATATTCTGGTCGTGAAGTATAATTTGGCCCTTTTTTTTAGCTTCATTTTGAGGTCTCAGTTAGACATCTCTATGCCATGTGAAATACCTTTCAGCCTTGGTGCTAATGCCTTTGAGATGCTTGAAAAAAAACAGAATATATTCAGATATTTTAGTTATATCTCATGCAATCTGTCCTATGTCCCCTGTGTTTTATTATGCTGTTCACTATACAGCTTTCAGCTTGTCAATATCTTTTTGGTAAAAAACATTGTGGCCCAAATAATTTTCTATCAGAACCACAGAGGATTACAGAAAGCAAGGAAAAACCTCCATCTGTCCTAATTACTATTAAACTGAATTCATAGGAAAGACCTATTGATCTCTGCACCATGGTGTGGTGTTTTTGAGTGGGGAATACAGAATTCATGGGGAATTTTTGTGGTTTTATTCTATTCAAAGTTCATTAATTAGTGTTTCTATTCAACAGCAGCTCTGTGGTATTTCTTTTGATGCAATGTTTTTTGAAGGTTGTTGATCTTCACAGCCTCCCAGTCCTACAGACTATTTTGCCTTAGCTGCACCCACCTACACTTTTTGTAAATTAATTTAATTCTAACGTTTTCATCATATGTTCCTAAGCTTTCCAGGTTCCTTTGCTCAAAACATTGTACTTTTCAGCTTTCAGGTTCTATCAGCTGTGCTCCCTTCTGAGCCTGCAAGAATAAATGCTTCAGCTCAGGCACTGGCATTGGCTGCACTGTCATAAACATTAATTTGAATTTGCAGCATCAAATACACCTTCAGATTACACAAATGAGCTTCTCTGTTGATACCAGAGGACCTATGATGATTTCACCATGTTTTCCCATTAATTAACTTTATTATCCTTAAAAAATGAAAAAAATATTCAGTAGGATGAATTAATTCTGAATATTCAGTGGGTTTACTTGTTAATAAGAATAAAATAGATTCAAAAGCTGTTCACTACTAAGAGCACTTTTTAATTTCACTTTGTTTTGCAGGTTTCTCATCTTCAGTTCTTGAACACTGGATTAATTTTCTTACTATTTCTGACAAATTGTTTATTATCCTGAACTTTGTATATCTATTAGATTGTTTTCTCAAAGCAACACTTTAGTAGTTATTTCATTTTTTTTTCAGAATACCTAATGAACACACAGGTGAAGCAAATTTTTCCAATAATATTGGATGACTGAAATACGACACAGCTTCTGTATTTCATATGAGATTACAAATTTCTAGTAGTAATGATCACGAATAGTCAGACCTTCATACACATTGTCAGTGTAATATTCTCACACCTCTGTTGAGCTAGGTATGTTAGATTTGTGAAACATGCTGAAGTTGTGAGACTTCAACTACACTGAAGCAATGCACTGACCATTTCTCTCATCACCCCCCACTCTCCCCAAATTCACAGCTGTACAAAAGCACTTATGTATATAAAAATTATTGTTATGTCTCAAAGTGAATAAATCTACTTATTTTGGGACATTTGGCTACAGCTGAGCTGTTGGATTTGGAAGTAATTCCCTACCCCATAGGCCAGATATGAGCCTAGCAGCAACCCACTTCTATGGTAGCACAAACATAAAGTGAGTGACCCCAGTCCTTGTTCCAGCTTTCCCCATCTGGGTGGCCAGAGCAGAGAGGTGAGGGGGGCTGCCAATCTCTGATCCTGCCCAAGGATCTGATCCCAACCTGGAGACCCTGTGGATGGAAACCAGGATCTCATCACAGGGTACTCAGCCTAGGCATAGCTACTACATCCACATTACAGACTGTATAATATTAAAATTTCAATGTATAAAAGAAAAATATCCCAGTTATCAATAGGGTCAATATTCATTAGAAAGCCTATGTGTAACTCAGATAAAGTAATGCTTAACTTCTGCATTAGAGTAACTTATGAAGGAAATGAACATGTTACATTTATTTTACATAAACCAGTGGCCAGACAGAGAGTTGGAAAGGCAGCTCTGGACTTGAGTTCACTCACAACACCTCTAAGTATCATCACGTTCTGCCCTAACAAGACAGTAAGACAACATTATGTTTTTCTATATTTTTTGTAGCAGTTTTCATCATACATTTAAAGTACTGCTCTAATTTACATAGAACATTGTGTCCAATGCCAAAGGCAATTTTGTCCAAAAAAAAAAAAAAAAGGCAGAGGGGGAGGAAGGGAGGAAAGGACCAACAAGGAAAAGTTAGTTAAGTAGTTTAAATTTCCAGAAACACAAGTGGGAGGTTAAACATTGCTCTAATTATACAGCACTCACAAAAGCATTGGAGCCATGCTGTGAGAACAGTTTTAAGTTCCTCTTGTCACCAAGGTAGAGATTATAGTGTAAATGAACTAAAACTGAAATTGGTTTATGATTTTTTTTTCATTTAGGTGATTACATGAGGCAAAAATCCTGACCATACACCAGATAGGGACTGTGGTTGATGATGGCTCCCTCACTTGGAGAGGAGAGAGTGCAGAGAAATTTTACCAACCCAGGTTTAAGACATGAGTCCCTAGAACCAGTGTTCTAGAAGTTTTGCTTTGCTAATGAGCATCAGGGCTGGCTGTGGCAGCTCTGAGAGGAGCGGCTGCTCAGTGCAGGGAGGTATCACTACCCTGGATTAAATCTGCTCACTCCCTTAATCAAATTTTATGCCCCCAGTGGCCTTACTGAAACGAAGACAATAAGAGAAGAGATCTTGGGGATACCAGCAAAGCACCTGCAGTGTGCTGCAGTGCAGATATTAGCCTTAAATTTTCAGCTTGTTAGCTTAGGCCCTGGGAACGGAGGCAGCAGTGGGACAGAGCTTTAGTCAGGCTCATTGCCACGTACGTGACTGTAGGGTTGGAGAAAGTTTGTGGTTTAATGACTGCCTCTCTGTGGGCATGGCAGAAATTCCTCCACTGGCTTCCCTAGGATGGCATACATCAGGATGTATGTCATCCTCTGTGGGGATGAGAAAGGTTTTGTCCAATGCACAGCTTTTAAACAGGGCATTTCTTTTTGCTCTGTGTCCCAGTGCCTCCAAAGGTTGGTCATCTCAGTGTCAGTGTTCAGGGACAGCTCTGCATGTGCTGTGCTCCACAGCCAGCTGCCACTGGCTGTAACTGGGCTCTCTGAAGGGAGGAGCACCATTTGGTGACTGGGCAGTACCTGACACTGACCTTCTCTGGCTGCTGGTAAAGACAGTTCAGAGTTCATTTTGGACTTAATTTTTCCTGAAAAGGACTGCCAGGTTATACCACTGCTTCCTACTGGCTGTGGGATTTCAGTTACTACAGTGACTGGCAATGAAAGACAGGTAATATTTATTATTTCTCCTATAACCTCTCCCTCTGGTTAATTGCCACTGGTACATTAAAAAAAAAAAACCAAAAAACCAAACAGCCTTATATATTAAATCTGTGCTCTGTGTCTTTTCTAACACCACCAAGCTGGCTCAAATGACTGCATCACTCATCTCAGCAAGATTAAGAATCTTAATCAATTAAGATTCTTCCTCAGCTCATGGCCACTTGGAGAAGATTGCAGACCACCATTCTGGCATCCTGAAATGACAAAACAGGGCATGAACTCTTAACAGATCTATTTTAACAGAAACGGCTCTTTCTCAAGCATTTTGCCTGACTACTTCTGAAGCCATTCTTCAACCTGTGGCTTCCTGGAGTTAACCTCACCAGAACACATACTATTCTGCTTAACTATTTCATGTGCTATGAATTAGGGATTGTTATGCATAAAATGTTCAGGGCAAAAAAAACCAACAAAAAACCAACCCCAAACAAAAAACCAAAACCAACGAAAATCCACCAAAATCCGAAGTTTCAAGCACACAGGACTCAAAGGTTATTTAATTCTCTATGCTCTCTTGATCTCAGGTTATAACTTTGCTGGTGAAAAGATCAGAGTTGCACAGACCAACTTACCTTAGACCAAGGGACAATAATTTTTCACCTTAGAAGCATCCAGCCTCTGAGATGTAAAGAAACCTTCTCTATCCAACATCTAATGTAAGTCATCTTCAGAATCCTGCAGCATGGAGAGGAGCCAATTGTTGTGGAATACTCAGACTTGACACTGCTCCAAGGAAGCCAGAAAGGTCAGATCCTCCTGGAACTGGCAAGAGCAGGACTCTGTTCTTGGCCTGAAACAGAAGTTGGGTCTGGGGAACTCTTGGTCACAAGGAGGGACCAGATTTTGGTCATCTGGAGATACTTAACAATGAACAGTGAGCTGTCTAACAAGTCATTGGCATGTCCTACTGTTGTGCAGGCATTTTTAACCTTTTTGAACCACAGTCTCAGACATGGCTGCATCAGTTCTTTTGAAGAATTTCAGGAACTATTGGGATCTGAAGTTGTTTTCCATGTTGTTTAGCGTCTATAATAAAGAAAGAAAGCTGAAAGTTCCCCAGAGTCACTCCGAGAGTACGTTACAAAGAACAATGCATATATTAGAAGCAGAATTTTGAATTACCAAAAATAGCAAAAGCTCTGCTCATGAAACTAATAAAAACTCACACCAAAAAAATGTTTCCTTCTATTTCCCCTAAAATACAAAATACATAGATAAAGCTATGGTGAAAATAGAAAAAAAGCATCTCAATTCAAAGTATGTTCTTGCCTATAAGCAAATGCAAACCCACCCTATGTGATGATAGGATATTCAGAAATCTGCCTGAATATATAGACTAGATGGGAGGATTTGGAGAAATAGTACATGAAGTGTTACACTGAGTATACACAAGTACAAACCTTAAGATCCCTTGAGATTTCAAGAAGTTCACCTTTGTGCAGAAAGTGTGAAGTCTAAATCCTATGAGAAATTCACAAGAGAAAGGACAGAGTTAGGGAAGATAAATAAACACGTGGTGGACATGAACTGGGTAATCATCCTACTGATAAAACGAAGAAACCACCACTTGGTGTCATCTCGTCACTGTGCAATTGAACATTAGGTTTTCAATACCCCAGCTGTGACCTGGCTTGGTACTCTCTCTTGCCTTTATGTGGGAAACCATCCCTTCTCCCATTACCCCAAGCAGATTATTTTGATCTTGACCTTCTCCAATGGATGTTTCCTTCAAAAGAGAAGATAGCAATCACTTAGCGAGTGGTGACTGCACAGTCAAGATTGTCATCGTTGGTTTTGCACAAGTGAGACAACTTCTTCTCTCACTGAGACTCAGTTCAGGTCTGAGCTTTTACAGACTCATCTTTGCTTTTTGTCTAAATGGCAATTAATGATATTCAAGATGACTGCTCTTTGTTCTAGCGAGTGTTCTTTCATTTTAATGATGAATTCTTCCTGAAAGTGTCAAACTCAGTGTGACCACCTGCCAGCCATCCAGCAAGACAGAGCCTAGGTATTTCTATGACAGTCCTGGGACTCCATCTCAAAATGTAACTCCTTAACAGGCTAGCAGTGCAGGGACATAGCAAGAAGAGCAAGTAGAGGGAAAGAGCTGGAACAATAATCCATGGATCTTGTCAAGTCCCACAGAGAGCCAATGCAGCCCTAAAGCTCTTTGTCATGAGGCCATTGGAGCCATGAGCAGTAAGGTCTGGCAAGCAGAAGCAAGCAGGACCAGCTCTCCCTGATGAGCAAGTTCCTGCCAGAAAAATCCTGATGAATAGTTTGCTCACATTTGGACGTTGCAGTCCCAGCACTGTTTAAGCATGGCCATTAACTTGAGACTATGGAAAGTGCTACAGAAGAAAGAAATAGGAGAAGAATTTGAGAGTGAGGGAGGGGGAAATGAACTAAATAGGAGTTAGACTTGAAGACAGAGGTAGTGAGCCCCTTAAAATAGCTGTGCTTGCCTTTGATGTAAAATACAAAATCTTGGAAATAAAATGAGATAGAGAAAAAACAGATGGTATGAGGGGGGATTCAAAAGTGAGGTGATGCACCAGAACTAGATATGAAGAAATGATGCAGCAGTGGACTTAGCACAAAAAGCAGCAGATAACCATAACATATTTTAGAAAAGCCCTTTGCAGTAATTGTAAGCTACAGCATCAGCAAAATACAAGCGCCCTTGACTTATTTTCCTCTCTACAAGGAGAGACTTGTTTTGAAGTTAAAGTAGAGCAAATGTGTTTCTGTGTGAAGAGTTTGCAGTTCTTGGCATGTTAAACATTACTTTAAAAATCTTTCACACCCAAGAGTTACACTCATTTGCTTATCTTTATAGCACATTAAAAAAAAAAAAAAAAGTCATACCATAGTTCATTTGATCAAAACAGGAATGTTTCTAAACCTTCATTCTTATCTTTTCATTGATCACTATAATATAGAGGTTTCCTTCTTCACTTGGGAATGTGGCTTTCTTGTCTCTTAGGTTAAAGCTCTAAATCAAAACAGCTCCAGGTCCTACCAACTACATGCTTTGGGAAGTTATGAATTTTTTAGATTGGTCCTTTCATGTGCCCCAGTTCCCACAGAGGTGGTGAGTCACAGGCCCAGCATTTGGAGTCTGGAGTTGGAGATGAGTTTCCCAGCTTGGATCCACCTAAAATCCTTTTTTTTTTTTCCTCCAGGAGTACTGACTGCTTGACAGAAAAATGACACATTGTCATGTATATTTTTTTTCTGTTTTGACAGATTTACAACACTATATGTTTTGTACCAGTCTCTTCCAGCTATGACAAAGTCAGTCAATATGGGTTTTTTTTATAAAATCCAAGTGGCAATTATTTACTCCTTAAAAAAGAGAACCATGAGAGTCTGAGAAAGAAAAGCAAAATGCTTAGAACCACACTGCAATACTGTAGGGGAAGCGATCTCCTCTGGTGTGTGCAGTAGCAGGAGGTGAGGCTGCTGTGCCAGCCTCCCACTCACTTTGTCTCCCATCTGCACAGCAGTCTCAGGGTCTGAAATGTAATCCTTTGTTTGCTTCTGGTCCCTGAGGGATGAAACCCTCATTCTGAGATAAGGCTGCTTTGAATCATCTCAGAATTTCTCTCTGCCTCTGGTTTTCACCCAGATGATATATTTTAGAATTTGTGAACCATCGCTACTGCGTGACCTGCAATTAAACAGTTGCTTGGTCTTCTAAAGCACTGCTCAGCTCCCTGTCCCACCAGCTGCTCACAAGCTGCCACTCAGCTTTGAGTGCTGCTCCCTTCAAGGGTATAGGGAAATGCAAAACCCTACAGCTCCTCAGAGTCGGACCTGACCCTCAGATCCTCACTCAGCCAAACTGCCCAGAGTTTTGGTGGGACACAGCCCGTATGAGAAGTCAGAGGGTTTGACTCAGCACAGTCATGCTGCTGCTTGTTCCTCCTCCCACACAAACCAACTGTTTTCTGTCCTAGAATTTTAGCTTGGTTTGTAAATAACAGTCACCCGGGAAGAAGTGCATTTACCTCCCACCTGATAGAGGCCCGGGGAGTCCTTCATTTCTCTGTTAGCTAATCTGTTTCTAAGGGGAAGACGGAATAAAAGGGAAAGGAGTGGTTAGCAATAATTTATCTCTACCCAGTTTGCCAAAGGCTATGACTGTGGATTGTTTTTCTTCCAACAGCTTGAAAATATTTCCTATAAACTGCAAATCAGGCTTAATTAAATCTTTTCCTGTGACTTTTTTCCTGTGTTTTTTTTCTTCCTTACTGCAAAATGGTGAGCAAACCTAGATACTAAATGACAGCTCAAGTCCTCAAACCACAGATGGCTCTCCCAGAGCCCTTCCCGCAGACTAGCCTTTCCAGGTTGGCTGTAGGATGGATAACCAACATTACTTTTGGATGAGAATCATAGTGTTGTTTTCTCATGTAGTATTTCTGGGAGGACATGAAAAACTCGAGGGGGGAGGCTTACTAATGAGGCAAAGCAATCAGCATTTTTGTAGGGTTGTTTGTTATACTGCCTGTGTCTTCGTAATGTAAATGCAAATAAACCATCTTTATTTTATTCATAGTTCTAATGGAAAGTCTGTGTCATGGTCTGAACCAGGTGGAAGACAAGATCCAAAGGGGGAACATACGTGGCACAGACTCTCAGTGCATGTGAAGAACCAGGAGACAGGGTGCAATCAGACAGCGGTGATCAAACCCCTCACTAAAGACTACCACGGCCAAAGTCTGACTTTTACTGACATCAGCACTAAGACTCTGTACAATGTGGTGGAGGAAGACAGAGAGCCCGTTCACCTCAACCAGTCCAGCAGTCCTTCCATGGTGGTGCACAGGCGGGTGGCAACGACCCCCCCGCTGCAGGCCACGGCGGAGGAAACCCAGCTCTTCTTGCCTGAGCAGTCCCCCAAGACCCTGCCCCTGCAGCCACAGTCTCTCATGGACCAGCTCCAAGGAGTGGTCAACAAGTTTGCCGCCGGCATCCCCGACTTCAACTCTGTCCTCCCCGCTCCCGGCTCAGGGAATGGCGTGCGGCCCCCCTGCCCACCCCCGCCACCCCAGCAGCCGCCCCTGCAGCCTTTGCAGGTGGATGCCTTCAGCGAGGAGCCCCTGTCTCCCCCGGCTGAGGAAGCCGAGAGTGAGAAGGTGAAGCTCATTCAGGGATATGTGTATGAAAAGAGCACAGAGGAGGAGGAGGACGAGGAACTGGCAACCAGCAAACTGACTCTAGAAGACTCTCCGGCGCTGACGCCCCCGTCCCCTTTCCGGGATTCAGTGGCTTCGGGCAGCTCCGTGCCCAGCTCCCCTGTGTCAGAGTCGGTGCTCTGCACACCCCCAGATGTGACCTACGCCTCTGTCATCCTGAGGGATTATAAGCAAAGCTCGTCCACCCTGTAGATGCTGCAAGAGACACGATGGGAAGGACTTTGGCAGCTGCCCACTGGGAGGACTTGTGCAGACAAGCCTCCCAGGGTCATGGGAGAGAGAGCAGGGAACAGTGACAAAGGACAGGGCAAAAAATTCATCCTGCACTTAAATAACTAAAATGAAAGAAAAAGAAAATAAAAAAATCGATTCTGAGGGCTCAAGATTCTCTATCTGTTAAAAATAAAATTAACGTACTTTGGGAAAATGTTAGGAAACCATAACAAAGCACAAACTAAAGGAACATCTTCTATAGCAAAAAAAAAAAACCCAAAAAAATCAAACCACGCAGGAAAAAAAATATAATCACACTTAGTCACACCCTCTCTTGGCAATGCTTGAAAAGGACTTTGGGAAGAGTGACATGGAGAAGTCATTAGCACTCCTCATAACTGCTGTCTGTCTGCTATGGGAGTAACACACCCAGGACCTGGAAGGGCAGAGTGTGGTGCAGGGAAAAAAGCTACTTATATATGAGACATATATGCATAAACATTTTTTTTCTGGTTTCTACAGGTGGCATAACTGTGGAACTTTAGTTTGGGGAGAGGAAATGAGATAATGTGAAAGCACATGGCTCTTACTGACTTCTATCTGAATGATTTCTTCTTCATACTAGGCTGCTTTTTGGGGGATTTGGGCTTCTTTTAATGCTGATTGTGAACAGAGCAAGAAATATGATCAAGTTAAGACTCAAGAGGTTTCTGAAGAAAGCCTTGCCATAGAACTTGTAATATGATAAGGACTTAGAAAAACTGCCCTTTTGTATAAGGTTGAAAACCATGTGGCTAAACTGTTACACAACATTTCCTGTAGCAGAACAATAATCATTGACTACCTTTTCATAAAATAACGTATTTTGCCATGCCATTGCATCATTCCTTTGTGTTACTTTGGAATCAAATGCATTGAGAAATAGCTGTTTACTTAGAGCAACAACTGTTAATCTGGAAGAAAGGCAATTCCACACTGGGGGCTATGGAGCCTCCAGGCAGGAGAGTGAGTGTACGTTTGTGTAATTGTATGCGTGGGTACGGTGTGTGTGAAGAGTAATGTCCAATAACTAGCACTGGAAGATTGTCTTCTATACTATGAATATTTTTATGTTTAAATCATGTTTTTATATCGCGTTGGTACAAATATTCAATAGATCTTTGAAGGTTTGTATGCTGTGCTAACACATCCTTTTTTTCATATACAAGCTAAGACAGTCGTTACCCTTATAATAGGGTGCTTTGTTTTGCAGATATTTTATGAAGTAGACATATGATATTAATAACCAGTGCATTGAAAACTTGTTATTTTACATGTTTTGCAGTTAAGTGTGGCTAACCAGAAAAAAAAAAAAAAAAGAAAAAAAAGAAAACAGTCTGTTTTAGAACTCTCGCAGGTGAGAGACAGGAAAAGTAATCCAACTATTTCACTGCTTCAGATAATTTAAAATAAAATCGTGCCATGACAGGAAATTTCATCAGTGCTTAATGTGTGCATAAATTGCCAGGTTTTGCTATTGACAGTTCTTTTAAACCCTTTATGATGTTCAGTTGCATGTTCTTTCCTTATGCTTTCACTTATTGTGTTTAATATACAATATAGCTTAAAGATCACTTCCAAGCACTTGTAGTTCTGTCATTTATTCCTTCTCCTCCTCCTCTATCTCTCATGTGTTTCCTAGAGATGGGCCTAATCCAAAGCTCCCTAATGACTGGCATGATAAAAGTCCAGGTCTACTTCTTGTAGCCTGAACTTAATTATAATGATGATTACCCTATTTATAAATGTGCTTATTATACATACACAGATCAGGATTTTAGCTGCCATGATTTTTGCTTATGCTGCTGAATTTAGCTGAGGATGACGATCTGTCCCACAGTTCCACAGTTTATTTCAAAAATATTTTAAAGGAACCTCTTCCTGTTAATATAGTTGCAAACCCTAATTTTAACCATGCTTCTTTTGAATATTCTACCAGAGTTTTTCTGAATTAATCATAATTCTACTATTTTTATTTCTTTTCATTTGAATTTTAAGAAGTCCTGCTTGTTATCAATTCTTCTCTGAAGATCCAAATCTCAGAGTTTTTCCCTAATTATGCAGTATTGGTATTGGCAGGTTTGAATCATATTCAAAACCAGAGAGAGTCTTTTTTTCTCATCCTCTTTTCACTATGTTTGTGAATATTATAATATATATATTATATTATAATATATAATATTCAATATTACTTGTGGCCAATTGCTATCATCATCCTGATGTGGAAAGCATGAACTTTGCCCAAAGACATATTTTTGTCAGTATATTGATGCCTCTATAATGAACTGAAGACACCTGAGGGTTAGCTGGTTGATTTTTTGTTTTGCTTGGGGCTTTTAGGGGGATTGTTTTTTGTTGCTGTTTCTTTTATTTAAAGTGCTGATTACTCCTTAAAGCAGCGAGAAAAATGCTGTATCTTCTTTGCTGATCACTGCACTGGCAATGAATTCTATCTTCTAATAATTGTAGTATAAGGTCTGCTGTGCTGTTTCCAAAAACTTATATTGTCAGTAGCACAGAGCTGATACTAAGAAGCCAGTCTTTGAAGACTTGAGAGAGATAAGAAACAGAAATATAGCAGATTTGTACAGACGAGGAGATGGCAATGTGGCAAGGTACTATACTGTTTTCATATCTGTCTGTTTTGAACATATTAAGCACTGATTTTATTATTGCAATGTAATTATATCATGAGTAGGAGTTTTCTAGAAATTCAGTATATTAGCTTTTAGTTTGTAATTGTTAAAACTGGAAACATACACATACCTAAATATATCTAAAGTGCAAGAGCTCACCTTGTGTATGCAGCTGTATGAGCTATGAAGCTTTCTGTAGAAGTTCTTTCTTTTGGTCTGTCAAATGCTTGATGAAAACTGCCTTTTTGTCAAAATGATCTTGAAAATGCTGTAAAATAAATATTTTCTATTTATTATTTAAAAATAGAATGCCACAATTTAAAATTTTTTGTTTCTTGAATAGGAAATAGTCATTGTTCTAGGAATTTCCAGCATCATGAATAAGAGATGGTGGGATATTTAAATGGAGGTAGGTATTGATTAAATTGTGTCATGGAGGTGAGATGATGGAGGGTTGGAGGATTTTTGCTTCAGTAAAAACCCCCAGCTTTTTGGCTTCTTAATAAAATTCTGAAGCACTGTAACTATGCATTCAGGCAGACAAGTTGTAGAAGAGAATTCAATGGGAAATGACAGGAAATTTTGCTTCCCAAGGACATAGGAAAACACCAGCCCTTCTCTGAAAATTGTCTTTGAGATGTCTGCTTCTCCCATCAGGGAAATTGCAATATGCTTTCTTGACAGCTGTAAATGATAGCCATTAATCCCCCCTGGCATTTTTGTGTCCTACCTGTACTGCTTCTGGATACAGCAAAGTACTGGGACTCCTGACTTCTGCTCTGCAACTCATAAACACTGTGGCTTTTTGGTGTCTCCTGAACTGCTCTGTACCTCAGCAAGATGCTTTTTTGGAGTGCTGCTGGGATTTTCAGAAACAAGTGGCAGTAAACATAGAAAATCTAGATTTTTTTTTTCTTTTTTTTTGTCTTTACACTTGTGAATAGACTTGTGGCTCCTTTGTTTGGATCTGGCCTTGCAAGAGCCCATGTCTGAGGAGTCAGTCCACCTACAACTCCTGCAATGCAGGAGTACAGACAATGACATTTCATTCTGTGGTAAGTGCCAAAAGTTTGGTCTCTTTATTCAT